ATGAAAACAGTTGTTTCTGTCAATTACTCGCATAAACTTTTTTTTTAATCGTAGTTGAATTGATAAATTTATAATCAAAAAATATTTTTGTATTTTGTAGGATAAGCTACATAATTTGAAGTGTTTCTCATTAACAAGTTATTATGTCACTTATGATTATGACGATATGATTGTGCCACTTCTTCATCGTATGTCACATCTGCAAAAATTAACTTTGTATCTTCGTATTCGGAATCGAAATGCATTCGTCGATGGCACACATCTTCATAATGAAATACTTGTTCATATGCCTCATCTTCATACATTCATTTTTTATATTAGTACAGATAATGACATCAATGGTTTTGTTCATTATGTATCTGCTAATGATATTCAAAGAACATTTAAAACAATAGGTTATAAACCAACGACTTGTATCGTAAATTACTTTCACAATTTTAGGGTTATATGCCATGTTTTCTCGGTTCCATTTGCATTTACTCATCTGGAAAAGATTGCGAATCAATTTCCAACTATAATATTTGACTATGTAACTTATTTGTCTGTCTACGATGTGGTTTCATTAAACCATGAATTCTTTATTCGAATATGTGAAGCTTTTCCATTACTTAAATATTTCTCTATGATGAATTTAATGATGCAATCATCAAATGATAATGAATTGAAATGTAATAACAATCTATCAAATTTAATTATTGAATACTCTCATCTTACATCACTTGACATCATGCATGTGAATATAGATTATGTTGAACAATTTTTACTTGAAACAAAAGTAAATCTACCTTGTCTAACTGATTTAAAAGTTAATTACGATCAATTGAAAAGTGTAACAATGAACTTTACAAGAGATGCAACGCGACGCAATTGTTCTAAAGTGAAACGATTAGTTACTGAACATTCAAAAATTTTGTCAAAAGATGTGTATCAATATTTTCCTTCGTTATAAATTGTATTTTTTGCTGATAATATCAATAAAAATCAAGTTGTTATTCGTCAATGAAATTATGTATTTTATTGATAACATGTGATCGTAAACTTCTAATAAAAAACTGTTAAAATAGTTTGTGAAATGTGTTAAATACTCTACATTGAATATTACGAACAAAAGAGGGTGTGGGTGTGGGTGTGGTGTGAGTGTGAAGTGTGGGTGTGGGGTGTGGGTGGGTGTGGGTGTGTGTGGGTGTGGGTGCGAGGGATGGGTGGGGGTTTGGGTATGAATCTTCTCTTCAAGGGAACCAACACCCACCCACACCCACACTCCACACCCACCCACACCCACACTCCACACCCACCCACACCCACACTCCACACCCACCCACACCCACACTCCACACCCACCCACACCGCACACCCACACCCTTCTAAACTATTTTATCCACAAAGGTTTTTAAACGAAGACAAAAATCCTCATCCATATGCATTGATTCCATTTTGCAGTGGTCATCGTCAATGTATTGGACAATGTTAATTCAGGTGAACATTGGACAAGATTGACTATTATACCCAAACATGTTGGTGTCACCGTCGAGTTTGCCTAATAATAATGACTCGACTAATTCTTAATCTATTTTAATACATTGTAATCAACTTTTACTTAGTGAGAACACAAAATTTATCTATTTCGATATAAACTCATCTGCATGGTATAATCCAAAGATAATAGCAAAGTATCATCGATAATTATTTAGTCAGAAGATTGAAGTTTCTACTCGCTCTTTGTATTTTAGACCATTCTTTATAGACAAAGATCCTTGTCATTCGGTTGCTACATTAAAATATTTGCTTGAGTTTCCAGCTGATTGTTACTTCTTTGATTCAAGTTATGCTTTCAACATCACACTAGATCTTCTTTTCAGTCGTCTGTGGTAAGTATTCTCTAAAAATATCCGTTTTCTGGAGAACTCTTAGAGGATTTCCCAGCTCACGAAAACCCGAAGGCAATATGAGACCTAATAACACTTGAACGGCAAGATAGATTTCGATACCGTGCTGTATGTCACAGATCCAAGAAGACGAAAGATATTATTAGTTCTTAATAGTTAAAAAGCAATTTACCATTTCGATCATATTTATCTGAAACTAAACTCGGTTTGAACACAAAAGAAAACAAGGAAAATTATTAGTTTGCTGTTATTGAAACCAAATCTACCATTTGTATCAAATCGATTGGAACGTAAGACGAAACAGATATCATTTTTTACAACTTTGATGTATAGCTAAGGATTTCGATTAAATAGGGTGTGGATGTTACTCTCTGCTTCACCGACATCCAATCACACCTAAGATACGAACATAAATATATTTAATTGTTGTTTTATTGAAATTATATAGAACAAGGTAAGAAAAATGTTTTATTTTTAAGCTAATAATAATTTGTTTTCGAATCATTTACATCATATTTTTCTTCATATATTCCAAATTGAGAATAACTCAAGAATGATAAATATATGAACAGCTTTCAGTTAATTAAAAGTCTGTTAAACTGAGCGAAAACGAAGATTAAAAAAAGAGAATTCGAGCACCAAAACTTTTCGTTTGAGAAGTTTTTGAACTGACTACAAACACTGTGTGGAATATTCAGAATATTGTCAAAACTTCGGAAACTCTTCAGATTGTCAAAGAAAAATTCGAAAATCATTCGATTACTAATCAGATATCTCTGAAAATTATTTCCGATACCAACTTAGTTTTTCTGGCTAATATTTGTTTACTATAATACTTTAATAGTTTCTGAAAATACTAATAGATTCTCTATAGAAAGAGAAAGGCATTATAAAATACGTTCCCGGTATGGAAAGCGATATTGTCGAAAACTTGAAGGTTCTCAGACCTTCGCGCAAATCTTTAAAGGTTTGCGGAGGGGTTTCCGAATGGGTTAGAGTTTTCCACGAAACGGACTGTTTTTGGGAAATTACTATGTTCACAATGAGCGCAGATGTGAAATAGTGCAAGAAAGTAGATATTTTGTAGATCGTAGAGAAACTCATCACAATCTAAGCTTACCTTCGAGTCTACTTATCGACGAATAGGTTCCTTATTGATCTAATAAGCTTATCAAAACAATGGATCTTTTCCAAGGACATCAGCTCATATGATTACATTATCCAGTCCATTTGCGTATAGAACAATGATTCATCGAAAGCACTTTTCTAACAAAAAAGTCCGTTGTTTTTTTCTTTTCTTAAGGTAACGATGCATTGAATGAGAGATTTGTTGACTTCTGACGAGAGGAGAAGGAGTTCTTCAACTATTTTCGTTCCTTGCTTCTGAAGATAAAGTGGAAAGAAAATATGAATGTCTTAAGTGTCTCACTCTCATATACGCTTGTGTTGACTACTAAAGAAATAAAAAGAAACAACGTGCAAATATTTGCGACAAATTTCGCGGAATGATGTAAGAGAACGAATAGTGTGATACATGGATGTTTTAAAGAAACAAGCAAAGAGAAAAAGAAAAAGTCATAGATGTTAATTTTCACCATAGGTAAGTTGACTTAGAATAGTGTTTTTCTTCATCAAAGCAAGTTCAGTATGTTTTAGGTGAATTAATATTTCTAAGGAGCTTCTGTAATATTCAAGCAGAAATGTTGCATGGTTTTTTCTAACCCGTGCTAATTGAAAATCTTATCTCTCAAAAAAGTAATCCAAGTGATGAGTCAAGAACTATAATAGCAGTGCTCCATGTTATTTCTCATTTTCAGCGATTCTTTTGCTACTTTTTACCTGAAAATGGATGAATGAGAACAATAGAGTACGTTCTACAAGGAAGAAACTTGCTGATAGTTGGGCACATCTACAGAGTGTTCCGAAAACACTGGTGATTCGCTTTATATTACTTTCAAAATTACTCATACAACTTGGCAAACTTATTCTTATTATCTCAGTCATAGTGAAAAATCCTGAAACTATGCAAAGGTTTCTTGAAAATTAATGTTTGTGTGAATTCGCAAAAGCGTATGTTGAACTTTGAATTATAATATTTTGAATCAGGATGTGAGATATCAGACATTCGTAGAAATGCGATGTGTCTACCAGATTTGAAACTGGACCAACGGGTTTTCTATTTAGTTTAAGACCACTAAAGCTACTCTATATTCTATTTGTGATTTTAGCGATCAAGAAGTATAAGCTTGAAAGCTTCCCACAGACAAATTTCTAGTCATCATGAAAATAGATACCCCCAATATTGAGCTCATGAGTTCAGTGTTTACGTGAGTGTGCCGTGAAATAAAATTTTGCGCAAAGACCTATTAATCATTTCAAAATAAAATAGATTTATTTGTATGTTTAATAACAAGACAATACCGATAAGCTATCGAGCATGGATTTTCATTGTTGCAAAGAAGATGAGTGGAGGTACAAGTCTATCTGAAAATCAAAATATTGGAAAAGTGTCCTAAGGAGTTCCAGGGATTTTCTGAAGAATCACTGTTTGATTCGGTTGATTAGGTGTACTTTCAACTTTACTTGAAAGTCCAATATCTTGAGAAAGAAACACCCTTTTTTTGCTAAAATGTTCAGGATATTCTATGTACCAGTAGATCTATCTATGGGCAAATTTTCAGGCCGAAATTCCGTAATTTGATTTTCCAGTAAATACTTAGGATAGGGTCGAAAAGGTCTAAAAATTCAGGATTTATAGAGTAGACATTGGGCTACAATATGGCAAAATTGACATTGAAAATACACCTAATCAAAGAAACCAGATAATGATTTTCCAGAAGTTTCCTGAAATTTCCTAGAAAAACTTTTCGAGTATTTTTATTCTCAGATGGACTTGTATTCCCAGTCATCCTCTTTCTAACAGTGAAAACCCGAGTTCGATAGCTATCAGCTTTGTCCACTTATTCAGCAAACAACCGGCTCTACTTTATTTTGACATAGATAATAGTCTCAGTAACACTAGATAAGAATAAGTACACATCAAGTATTTCTTGTTGAAATTATCCGATAGATATTCATTCGATTTTTCAAATATTCTAGAACAATCGTATAAGAATGTCACGCTCTGTCAATGAGATTATAACAGATTTAACAAGATTTAATCCACGAACAGCTACAGCACAACATCGTTTGTCACATGATTGTTATATGATATTAGTTGGATATGTACAAGATAAAAAACAACTAGCCAAATTGAAAAATATGATTGAATCTCTTGGAGAAACAACTGAAGGTGAATATGGGGCTGCTGCAAGTATTGGTATCATGGAGTGTGAAAACGTGGAATTCATACTTGAACATATAACATTGCAACACAATTCCGAAGAACTTCTAGATGCACGTAATGAACATTTCGTATATGAAGACAATTTTAATAGTGCTCTCTCTAGTTTCATAGCAGAAACAGCGTCATTACAAAAACTTGTTAAAATATGCCGCTACTATGAAAACAGACGAGGAATAAACGTCGATAATGTGATCGCAGAACATAATGCGCGTGCCACTAGTTCGAGTTCATATTTCGTGGAGAAAGGTTTATCTCAAAATGAAGCTCTAGCAGCAGCCTTTGCGGTTTCGTTCTACACTGGATCAAAAAGTGAAGCATGTAGTCGAGGTGCTAGTCTAATTGCACGACAAAGTAATGGAGTAGTTATCGATGATAAAACAGTGCAAGAATTGAGTGAAGCATCGATTATTCTCTACTATTTAGTCAAAGCTCTTTCACATATACCGTATTATTGGGGTTACGTAACGCGAGCTTGTGAATTGAAAGACGACGAATTGAAACTTTACACAGCCGGCGCTTTGATAACATGGATTCAATTTAGTAGTTCAAAGAAAGGCAAAAAAGTAGCTACTAACGCTGATTTTTCTGGTCGAAATACGTTTTTCAAAATATATTCATTGACTGGTCGTCCGATTCAACAATTTTCAAATTATCCAGAAGAAGACGAAGTTTTATTTTTACCTCATTCAACATTTCTCGTTTTCAAACATACGATTAGTCATCATGGTAGCCAACATACGATTTACATGCGTCAAGTTGAGTTAGGTCTGTCTGCATGGTCTGTACTATGGGTTGACGATAATATTTTTAATTCTAAATGGGAAAATAAAGCACACATGGAATATGCAGCGGCTAAAGAATTGAACAAGAATGTACATTTCATTCCTAAATCATCAACTGAAAATGCTCTATCGTTTCTTCGATCACCATTTGGACAAATTCTCAAAAATCGAGCTACATTTCGTATTGTTACCGATATGCACCGTGACAATGAACAGTCACGTCATAATGCTGGTTCACGTTTAATTAAAGGATTAAGAGAACTCGGATTTCAAAATTCGTGTTTTGTATTCACAATGCAAAAAGATAGATGTGATGAAATTTTGCAAAATGAATTGAGCGAGCGAGAACGACGAAATGTAACGGTATCGGTTGACACACGTGATTTAAGAAAGTTTGTCAATTTTGAATGATCGTTTCAAATTTTATTTTTCTAATAAAGAATAACTCACATCGATGACTTCTATAGCAGTAAACTATACTCATTTTAAATGTTGTACATTACTAAGAATACGAAAGCAAGTATTGTACAATCGTGCTTGTTTTTATTCTGAAAACATACATTGTTACTGGATTTCTTATGATGGATGTTTTTCTATGATAAGCGAACTGCGGATATAGAAAAAATAATTGCATAGTTTAATTTGAAAAACCTATAGAAAATAATGCATGCTTCAATAAAAAGCAGGTAGCATTATTTATTAAAATAGTTGGAAAATTGTAAATATTACATTTTATAGTCATTATAGTAACTATCATATTCACATAGAATGAACCAGAAGAGGAATGATATCGAAGAAAAATAGATAGAAGAACATATCAACAAATTGATTTGTTTTTCAACGAATGCATTTCAATCAATCAGTATCTGATTTTATTTAAATTTTATTTATAACGATAAAGAACTGGAAACTAAAATATTATGCAGTCCTTTTTTATTGAATAAACGAATCGTATTATCAAATAACCTTTTAATAATAGAACCAATACAATCGGCAACAACTGTACCATGTCCACTCTCTAACAAGGTGTAGGTAGTAAAGGTATTTGTGTCTTGATGCGAGTGTAGTCTGAGTTTGAGTCTTCTCCTTATTCGCAAAACACGTCATTTCTCATAATCCATTTTCAAGATTGACTTTTGAGTTTCAACTTAAATTTCCTCTTAAATCATGTTCTCAAATGGATTTATTTATTGTTAAAGTCTCAGTCTTTTTAATTGCTTGTACAGTTAGATACGGATATAAGTGTAACATTTCCTTTGCTGTAGAAGAGAATTTCCAACATTGGTATCTCACAATAGAATCAACGAGAAAGATTAAAACTTTGAAAATAAATTAGTTCCATAACGAAAATTATTTCTCTAGTAACAATCCTGTTCATTCCTTGAAGAAGCCTGGAAGGATTTGTCAGAATCCTGTATATCAAAAGCTTTGCCAAATTTTATTCAAAACGCTTTCTTGACTCCTAGATATTTCTGTTAACAGGATTTGTCATGGCTAAACAGAATCATGTGCAGATATTGTTTTGAGTTGGGAATGCAGAATACCTACTAGTAATTACTGTTGATACTATTTAGGATCTTGACAGAAATAGCAGACAAGGTTCTATGAACGTTTTATCAAGTTTTATTCAAAATTTGTTCTAGACCCTGATATGAGCATCTAGTCAGGACTTATACTTACATCATGGGCGATTCTTAAGATTAATAGAACTAGATTAATCATAAGCCTAAATGAATAAATCCTGCTTCGAATTTTTGCAGAAACCAATGTTTTTGGATCTTTACAAAGAAATATCAACCATCATCAGAATCTTGATGGGAAAATACAAAAACCTAGTTTAGATCTTTCCCAGGTTCTGTTTAGTATATCTTAAAAATTAGTTTGTCAATATCCTATCAAGACTTATAACTATTTTTTTCAGGACCCTAATAAAGTTCGATGTGAAAAGTTCGTCAAGATTTTAGCTGGTTTTTTGTAAGGATATATCCAAGATTTGAATATAATCTTTTTAAGATTTATGTTAAAATTGATTTGAAATTTAAACTAAAATTAACATAAAGTTCAATTACAAGTTAACAATTCAGTCAATGGTCTATATGTTCATATCTCTTCTTTTTTCTTTTGCAAATTTTCAAAACATGCTGCCAAGATATATGATAACATTTGTGAAGAAACCTAATAAAATACCGTAAGATGGAAACAGAAGTTTTTTTTCGATTAGGAATCATTGAAATCCGGGCAAAATTCTGCTTTGAAAACAATGCAAAGCTCCTCATAAGTCTTCTAGGATTTTGCTTCACCTTCTGTCAAAATTTTTGACATTTTGTCACTAAATGGTTCTCTCAGGATTTACAGTTTCCGAAACCGACTCATGACTTTAAATCTAGCAGTAAACGGCTCAGGATCCTGATTGAATTCGATTTATTATGCAGTCAGAATCTTGATGTTTCATGACCACGCGCTTCTTTTAGATACTAGTCATTTCTTCAGAAAAAAACAGTGAATTCTTGCAGAAACTCTATTGAGTCTGTGAAGAACCTAGCACAGAAACACCAAAGATTTTTACTAGAGATATTAAACATGAATAGAGTCTGCTTTTTTGGTATGGCTCTGATCCTGTTGCGTTACCCATCCGACTCATGTCTGAATATGAACCTTCTAAGACGTTTCGAAATAGAGCTCTCCATTTTAAATTTTTCAGTGGGAAATCCATAAAAAATTGGAGTTTCTTATTTTTCAAAAACGCTTGATTACATTAAGATCTTTTCTAATGACTGTTTTTCATTTACAATGTATATCTATGTTTTATTTATGCATCTTATCTCGGTTTTTTCTTATCTTTTTCACACAATCATCGTTTGCTTCTATAATATAAAACACAGTATGTTAAGTCTATTTTTTTATTATTTTACACTAAAGATCTCTTTGTAAATATATTTAGTCGATATTTTCTTCAAAAAATTTTCTTGTTTTGTTATCGATTATAGAACACGTGTTTTAAATTCCCTTTGCCTCTGTAATCATGAATATATCCCGTATATCGGTGATGACTTTTAATATGTGCAAAACAGATGGTTATCCAATTAATTGGCCACAACGTCGTCTACCTATAATTGAATGTTTGACAACATTTACACCTGATATTCTTTGTGTACAGGAACTGCATCCATTATTGCATGACGCTATCGTCGAATCGTTACCAAGTCATGCATTTGTTCAAGATGATTTTCCTGGATGGCAATCGGAGGGTAACATCTATTGGAATCGTAACATGTTCAAAATGATGGAATACGGAATGGTTGATATTGGTATCATGGAACCATTGCGACGTTTGTTTTGGGTACGATTAGAGATACAAATGTTCACAAATGAAAACAAAGAACAGAGTCAATCGAACACAAAAGAATTACTTGTGGCGAACGCACATTATACATGGGAAGGTCATGAAGAAGAACGCAAAACTGATGTCAATTTACGTAAGCAACAAGCACGCAGTACTGTAACTGCTTTACAAGATTTAACATCCCAGTTCAATAATCCTCATTTGGCTGTCTTGTTTATGGGAGATTTAAATGAAAATTATCATCCAAGACGAATTTTACGTGAAGCTGGCTTTGTCGATTGCTTTGCTGAATTACGATTACCAACTCCAATCACACATCCTCAACGTCCTAGTGAACCTAAAGAAGATATTCAAGTGGGCACAACATTAGATTGGATAATGCAAAATAAATATGCACGTCCTATCTTAGCAAATGCACTACAAAACGTGTTTTGTACTGGAGGATATTCTGTATCAGATCATTGTCCAGTGATGTGTGTGTATGAAATTGGTGCGGGTCCTTATGTTTCGAACGCAGTACAAGATTTTAGTGGCAAAAATATTGTCAAATGGATTTAGTTGTCGTTTTCAATTTATTAACTGCATTAATCAAATTTTCTATCATTGAAGACAAGATGAATAAAAACTATCTAGTCTCTATCATTTGATTACTTTCCATCTTGATCATTTAGAAAATAAAGTTACAATGGAACTTAGTATTCGATGATCTCATTAAGACAATAAGACCCTAAAAAGACGCATTTACATGTTTACTCATTAAAACAAGTAAATATATTTCGAGAACAGACAAATGAAATTTCTGATAGATAAACCTGTAAAAAAGCGGTATTGGTATGTGTTGTTTTTCCTGACCACATATTCACACCTATTTTAGTCTTAAATCTCGTCTAAAAGTTCAATTTTCTTTATTATTAACAGAATTTTAATTAAAATTAATAATAACATTTTAAGAAGTCTCATTTCGACAATTTATTATGAAATAATAACATCTAACGTTATGCAGTTTTCAATTTTCTGTATCATGGTGTATTCGTAAAATTTAGAAACTATGACACTATTGTTTTGATAGCTGTCAACTAACAATTTTTATAACCGATGATTTTTCAACAATATACATGGAGGAATTAGGGTGTGGGTGCGTGTGCGTGTGGGTGGGGTTGGGGTTTGGTAGGTGTAGGTGAATCTTCAGTTCGACCAGACGTACATCCGTATCCACACCCACCCACACCCACACCCACACCCACACCCACACCCACATCCACACCCACCCACACCCCACACCCTTAATAATGCTTGCCACAGGTGCCATATAAACAAGGTTTTGGAAAGTTAAACTTTTTTAAAGGACTATACTTGCATAAAAAAAATTCAACTAGGTGATAAAGAAATGAAATGCTCGTCTTCGACGAAAAAAACTGAAAATTTAGTTTGTTTGAGCTGATTCTAGTGTAGGCATGATATAGGGTGCCCCTTAACGTATTAGCCAAAGGAAATATTGAATATCTTCGTCACATTTTGACCAAATCAGTTGATATTTTTATTACTGATAGAGAAGTACTCATAGAACATATCCATAAGAGAAACATTATGAAAAACTGTTTTGAAGTATTACAACTGACTTTAACAAATAACTACAACTTTTCGCAGCTTTGTGCGCACAAAGACTAATAAGACATGTATCTGTAGTAAAAACATGAGGTCAAACGACACTAGTTTAGAGAAGTACTCGGAGAAATCTGGTATGCCGTTTATTTTTAGGCTGATGAAATAAATATATTGTTATTTCATAATCTGCGAAAAGTTGTGCCTCTTTATTGAAGTTAGTTGTAATACTTCAACACAATTTTTCATAAAGCTTCTCTTATAGGTATCACCTATGATCACTCTTCTATCATTAATAAAAATATCAACTGATTAGATCAAAATGTGGTGTTGATATTCAATGTTTCCTTTGGCTAATGCCTTACAAGATACTCTATACAGTCCTCATTTGTGTCATTTGTTTTGATATTGATTATTTGAACTTAACATATGATCCTATTGTATTGATTACAATTTTAAAACCAAAATAACACATTTATTACCCTCTGTTATGGGTGTGGGTGGGATGTGGATGTGGATGAGTCTTCTCTTAAGATACTTACATCGGTACTCACACTCACATCCTCGGTTGAATTTTGATATTAATGGAGACCATATCACCATGTTCAATTATTTCGTGTAAAAGATGGAGACTGAATCATCAAAATCGCTGTTTTATCGAACTTACTGGAGACGAACAAAGATTCATATTGAAGATTCGAAATCGTTCAGATCATCTCGAGACATCAATCTCTCAGGCAAAGTTTGAACGAATTTCTAGCGACTCGTCATTCTCTAGAATATTGCGACACAAAGTGCAAGTTTTGTTTCAACAAAAAATACGCAAAGTATGGAGACTAAATGGGTTGGCGAAGAACTAAATAAATACTGTGCTTCGTATCGCATTAAAAAACATCTTGTTTTATAATTGTTCAATCATAAGCTCGTCTTATATTTTCTTCTTAGATATAATTATAACGAAACATGAATAATTTAAGTTACAATAAAATTACGATTCTCGGATTAATACCGAGTGGTGTCTCTAGTCAAGTTGTTAATGTTCTATTGTTGTCAATCGAAAATGTTACGTTTCTGTCAATCAGCTGATCAAAGTTAAGACCGAGTTGAAAAGTAGTAATGATCAGATTCATCACTACGAAAACTATAAACATATATCAACATGTTTATATACAACGCTTTCAATTGATAGTTTGATTATCTTCATGATTCATTATCTCTTATCAGCTGTATTCACAGCTGTTTGATACATCAGCAAAGAGAGTGGTGCCTAACTTTTGTTTTAATTTTCTTAAAGCTTGCAAAAATGGTAGCAGTTCAATCTCGATACTTTCACGTCATTTGTGGACGACTGGATGTGCGGGTGGATGTGGATGTTTTTTTTCCACACACACTCAAGTTATTTTGCTGAAAATTATTATTTCAAGAAAGGAAAATTCTTTTTTTTTTCTTCCACTAGAACTCTTCTAATATTTTAATTATTCTAAAGGTTAGATGTGGAAAATATTTCAGTTAGAAATTATCGTGTTCAATATTTCTGTAAATACGTATCAAATTGATGGAAAAAGTGATTCATACGATTATAACATGCGCAAGAATTTATATCAACTGGTATATTTTCACGACTATTTGCCAGACATGTAGATGATATATTATTGATAACAACATCAACGAGTTCTAAAATCATTTCTTCGTTGTTTCATGTTTTAATTTTAAAACTATTCTTTTTCAATAAGCTTTTATCCAATTCTAAATGAAATATATTTCTTAGATAATTAATTTTGAGTGACATATTATTTTTAAATAAAGATTATTAAATGAATATGACACGAATAATGTATTTTAGTTGTATATCAACAATTTAATCTAACTGATGCTGTAATAGATAGATCATCGTCTCGAATCTCTTCTATTCTAATACATTTTAAATGGTAATCAACTTGATTTTGTTTCTACAAGTCTAGCTGCCATGCTAGATTTCACCTATTCAAAAAGTTTATTCGAAATCTTACAGAATTATGACAGAGATCAGTGAATCTTTAACAAAAATCGAGCGTCTTCACACATATATTTACAGTCAAATAGATTATCTTATAGAAAACCTTTTTTTTAACTTGCCAATTGAAAGTTTATCTGAGCTGATGAAGTTTACGTTCGTCAGACCTGACATAACTTTAGATTTCGTGATTTTATTTTGAATAGTTTTTATAAATGAGTTAGTATGAAATTATCAAAAGTATTGAAAAGTCATTATTGAATAAAACTAGTCTGCATTTTGTTTAACTATTATTTTACTGAGATAGTCAGAGAATCATAATGACATATTGATCATAGGATTGGATTCGAACCGATAGTTTTATTGGTTTTTTTTATCAATTTTTACTGTTTTAATCGTCATCAAAATCGCAGCTCTAAATTTTGAAACTGACGCTTTCTCATAGCACAATAAGAATCTCGAATCACATCCGATCTATTGCTTATATCTGCGAAAAGCCATCTAGTCATGAGAATGAAATTTTGATAGAAAAAAGGATCTCCTACTTCGACATTTCTAGCTCACTTTTCTTAATTGATTTTAACCGAGTGTGAGAAACTCTTAATGAATTGAAATTTTGGCTCATGTTTTCGTTAGATAAATGGCAGAAAAGTTTCCGTTTTGTTGTAGAAGCTTTTCTCATAGCTAGCTGATGCAAAAATAAAAGTATCAAGCTATTAAGAAATCAAAAAGAAATATAAAGCCTGACAGAGATACTGAATTTTCTAACTAATTTAGTCTGTCTATCGGCATTCATAGTCTTAAACAAATCGCGAATTCTTTTAGTAATGTTTAAAAATAATTTCAAATAAGAAAACGTCAAACTGAACAATTTTTCTAAAGAAATAATATTTTACGTGCAACAATTCAATAAGTTTCATAAAGTATGCCTTTGTCGATATGTAGTTATAAAATTACTCTTAAAAGAACTTCTAGATTAATTGATAGATTTAATCTGATTGAAAAAAAAATTCAACTGGTTTCAAAACTAACTCATTCCGAACGTCAGTAGTCAGATAGACACGAAAAAATTCACCATGAGCTTATTTCGTTCATCTTTTTTTTTTAATTCTATAAAAAAACAGTTTTTTCCCAAGTTTATCTATTTATATGAATATGTTATTTTATTCTTGACATTTCTAGAATGATTTTTATTTGTACAGAATATATAAATAAACTTTTTGTTAGGGAATTTCCATGAAAAAAACATATTTGAGCTTGTTTATTAATTATAATTATAATCGAAAACAACTGAGATAAGTTCGCATAAAGGTAAGAGTCTCACAAAACGATAAATGTATTCTGTTGATGTTGAACAATGAGATCGTCATGCGACACCGGAGATAAATAATATTTAAAAGAAACGAAAAAAAAAGAATTTATTGTTTTTCATTTGGTGGAGCTGATGGATAAATATTATTATCAATAGCATCTTGATAACTTGGTGGTAGAATTTTATCTTTTTCATATTTATTTGTTCCATAATCAGCTTGTCCTTGTTCAACTAAAGCTGGACTTGGTGATAATAAATAACTTCTTGGATGTCTTAATGGTTCTTTAAATCTTTCAATATCACAAGCCCAAAGTGCACTTCCAATAATATTTGTTATTGGTGTTATTAAATTTAAAAATGGAATCATTTCAAATAAAACAGCAACAATACCAAATCGAGTATAATCAGAACGATTTTCTTCAACATAATGTTTTCCTTTATAAATAAGAAACAAAAAATCATAATTTAAATAAAATAAAAATTAAATTTATGACAAACCTTGTGCAAATGTTAAACCAATTAAATCAAAATAACGACAATGTAATGACCATGCATAATAATATCCATTAATATAAATATAAAGAATTGTACCAAGTATAGGAATTATATTTAATGGACATGTTAATACAACAAGAATAACACGAAATATAATTAATATTATAAATGATTTAATACAAGAAAATGTTCTTGATGATATCATTTGTGTTTCTCCGTGATTAATAATCATTGTTTCTTCACGTACAACAGCATCAAATATAATCTCCATATAATATGATAGATATAATGATGAAAATAGAAGAACTGCTATACCAATTTCAAATAAAGTTAATATAAAACTTATTATCCATGATATCCAACTAGCCATATGCTCTGATAAAGCATAAGCTTGAGCAGGAAATGCAAATACAAGTAATAATATTGATGCTATTATTGATACTAATAGCATGATAATAAGACCGCAAAAAAGTTGTCTCCATAATGATGGATGACGAATTAAATAAAATATTCCACGAATTGGATAACTATAAGATTCATGAAGCACCATTGATATTCTTTTTTACTATCAAAACAAATTAAAAATTTTTCGAAAATACTTACACTGATGATCATCATCATCATTTGGGCATGTTTATTATTACTGCATCATTTGTAACCAATTGAATAGAATTCTAAAAGAGGACACTATATATAGATTCAATATAATTTTCTAATTATTGAAAACATTTTGTCATTTTATATGAAATAAAACATAGATTTTCTACATATATTTTTTTCATCACTTGATTGATGTAGTAAAATAATATAAGAATTTTATCATTTTATTTTTCCTTATCATATCAATTTGGAGATTTCAACAATATGATTATCTATATGATATCTATGAATAATTACTATGATTATATCCTTTTTCGATTGATGAATAATATTTATCATAACATATCACTAATTTGAACCTTGTCAATTATTTTATCTGCAGTGAAATTAACTTATTTCATCAATTGAAAAAAAATAGCATTGATACTATATTTTCATTCAAAAAATGGCAATATGTACACTTTGAGAAATTCGATAACAAGTCTTTGTAGGATAGTTTTTATCTTAGACAAGTGGTTTGAAATATATCTTCAAAAATAATCGCTATTATTTACTTATACAAACAATCAAACATTTTGTTGATAATCAAACGCGATATTGTCTAAAAACTTAAAGATACATCCGTTAATTCATTGTTGAACAATATATATTAATAAGAGATTCAATAATTAATTGTCACACGATCAACATCGATTATTTTTTAACCACTGTTCAACACTTAAATAACTATATCTTATTAAACTTGTCCAATTCTTTGTTTTATAGGAACACTCATGATAAATTTGACCTAGTTCAATAGTCTTCGACTAATTCACTTAAAGTACAGAACACTGTTAACCAATGAAATTGGTCCTCTCTCTATATCAAAATGTTATATTTTCCCAATAGCTCAATCGGATGTCAAAAGTCGATTGCCATTCGAATATGTCCATTATCCTTCATAATGGCTGCGTACATATTACTTAAGAATTGATAAACACTAATTTACTGGAGAAAACGTGTGGAAAATGTTTCGAATTCGTGAAAAAACTGCTGCAATCTGTACTCGAACGTCTATCCCACACGAGACTGCACTGGACACCATCGATTAGCTACAAATTGAAGACATCATCTGATGTCATCCATAGTACCATCTTATCGTGGTCAATAGTAAATATTAATAGAATATTTGATAAAATTTTGTTTACAGATTTTGATTATTATCAAAATAGATCATTCATTAAAATCAATCGATTTAAATCTGACATATCGTTCTAATAATAGTTGCTCTATTAAATGTAGCATCAGATATAAGATAATATTTTTGAGTAAAATGTATTATAACTGAGAAGAAATAAAAGAAAATGATAAGAATAACATCTAAAACAATCATATTCAGATAAATCGATAATATAATCTACTTTAATTTTTATTGCTGAAATGGAGGTTTTTTTTTTCTTAAAATTAAATTTCAAACAATTTTTAAGTAAATTCATTTAGTTTTATACATCTTCTCATCTTATAACATATCTACAATAGAAGAATAAAAAAAAACATTTGTTAAAACTTTTCATAAAATATTTCTCATTCTATTTGATATGATCATAAAATATGAAAAAATAAAACCTACTTGTTGCACTAAAACAATAAACGGTTTGATTTCATTTATTAATGAATTGAATACTATGTATTAGTAAAAAAAAATAAGACATTTTATTTTTGATATATTGGATTTTTATTTAAATAAAATGATTTTTACACAGAAAGAAAAAGCAATACATTAAATCGAATTTGAAAAGATTTTATTTAAAAAAAAAGTCAAATATCTCGATTTTGTCATTTTAATCATATTGAACAAAAAAAAATGATTCTTTTTTTGTCAAATTGAATTATCACAAACGTTCACTAAGAATATTATTATAATCTCTTTGATATGGATTTTGTTCATATGACGCTGGATATGAATCAGATGAAAAACGAACACCTGAATTTTGAAATAAATTTTCTTCATCTGCTGAACGTCGTTTTCTCCAATATATTAATCCACCAATTATCGCAGCAACAACAACAGCACCAACGATTGGAACTGATATTAATAAAGCCAAATTTGGTGACGATGATGAACAACGAGAGTCTAATTCATTACGACTATATCTACCTAAACAGATTTTTTTTTTAATATAAAAATTTCATTACAAACAAATAATAGAGGCATATTTATTTCTTTGTTTTTTTTTCAAAATGTTAACTCACTTTTTATCTCTAGAGTTATGTATAATAACTTACTAAATCATTCATCAATTGGTATCATTTTATTGATAGGATACAACTCAGTGAGATATTCTAGGCTGTATTTCTATTGAAATATCAGGCAGTAAAAGAGTTTTCTCTCGTTTGTCTTCACAAAGTTGCCGATAGAAGAAACTTCAATTACATTATTAAGTAACCAAATGGTAAACAACTATTGATGATTGTTTTATATGATTCATTATTATGATGAGATATATTCTCTCCTATAAATATAAATATCGTCATTTATTCAAACTTGAATTATCACATTTTGTCTTCATATAGGATCGTTTTACTCGAAATAGGCTCACGAATATATACATTATCGTTATAGTAAGTCATCTTACTCATCAGAATATCTGACTATACAAATACTTACGAGGAAAATTTTAAATTATCAAACATGAATAAACAGCATAATGACAATCTTTACAAATTCAAATATGAAAAGCAAATAAACAAATAATTTTTTATTGTCAATTATAGAATTAACTTTATTCTATTTCAGTTTATTTCTGAACACTTTTCTTATTTTTACTTAAAAGTCTTGACTATAGTTTAGAAATACAAGGTTAATAAAGGAATTCGATATTGTCACTATGTATACTAAGAACTAGATAAGACACAACACAGCTATCTGTTAGGATCTGTACTTCGAGATTGAAAATTGATTCGAACATTTGACAAAAAAAATGTGATTAATTTATAGTGATAAACTATTTTTACGAATAAATCGAACTTAACTTGTCTTATTCAATTAATAAATGTTTGAATATGTCATATATACAGATATAAATGAATATAAAATTATACCTTGATAACATTCAGTTCCAAGACAATTACAAGCACCTGTAAATCGATTACATGATTGACAAGAACATCTATAAGAACAATCAGGTCCATAACGATCAGATGGACAACCTTTTCAAGATTTATTTTTTATATTTAATTAAAAATATAAATAAATAATCTTACTTATATTACAATTAGTACCATACCAACCCGAATAACAAGAACACCCATATGGATCAACTAAACAAATTAATAAACCTTGACAATAATCATCATCACCTGAACAATGATAATCACAATCTTGTCCATAATAACCAGATGGACAACCTTGAGTTTTTTTTTTAAAGAAAAAATCCAACATATATAAAAAATAAATTTCAAATTAGTGTATAACGTACTATATTGACATTGATCACCATAAAATCCAGGTCCACAAATACATTGATTTATATATGGATGATAAATACCTTGAGAACTACATCGACTTCCAGCTATTTATAAAATAAAATAAATATATATATATATATAAATTATAATTAAATATAAAATTTTACAATCTTGATAATCAATAAATCTCGTATGATGAGCTGAAAGTCTTCGTTCTCTTAAACCAATTGAAAATAAACCATTAAAATCTTTTTTTATTCTTATACCACTTATTGTTTTATTATTTGTATTTGATGAATCACAATTTAATCGAATTGTATCATCTAATGTTGAACTTTTATCAACATTTATATATTCATAACAATCATAACGAAGATCTTTATCAACTTGATTAAAACTAAATGTTAAGGAATCATTTGAACTTCGACGAATTCCAACACTATATTCCATTGGTAATACTGGACGAATAAAATCACCTAAATATATTAGTTCGTATAAATTGTTTTTTTTTTGAAAGAAAGAAAATTTTTTTGAAAATACCATCAAGTGGAAATGATTGTGTATAAACAGTAGAAGCTAAACTATTTTTTGAAAAACAACCATAAAAACCAAATCTTGAATCATCACTTTGACTTGGAAGGGTTATATTTATACATTTCGATGTACATTGTTTGTATTGACATGATGAAGATTGTTTAATCATTTGTTTAATATCATTTTTACGACAAAATCTAAGATTATTTAAATTAGTGTATGGATTTATATCATATAAACCATAATAAGATTCATCACGAGCTTTTGATAAATGAAAAGCAATTCTATCTGAACCACGCGAAGATGCAAACCATATATAATTTAATGAATTATTATACTAATTTATAAATTAAAAATTAAAAATAAATTTTATTTTATATTGATAAAATAGAAAAAAAAACAAAGAAGCATACTGAAATATTTTTCGGCATCCAATATGCATTATTAACTTGTTTACTTTGAGATATTAAACCCGTATAAACGTAATCAGATTTGAAATTTGAATCTTTTAACATTATTTCTAAAAGAATTGAAGTCGAACTTTTTTTTTCCATGTATCGATTAATATTTATTTTTAAACAAAAACTATCATTTTCGAATTAACTTTTTTTGTTTTTAGTCATCTAATATAGTCGTATAAAATCGAAAACAACAATACTTATTTCACTTTTGATTATTTCTATATGTAGTCAACACTGAACACATTTATATTTATTTGATTAACTAACGACATAATAAACATTCATTAATATAGTAGCTGATTACAATAAATTTTTCACTAAACTTATTATTGATTAGGATAGTTAAAGTTATAATCAGGCAAGATTTACACTGTTCAACGAGTTGTATTAGAAAATAAATTAAATTAAAGCAATATTAAGGTGAAACATCGCCCTAGGCGAACTTTTTTTTTTATGCACTTGACCTGCGCAGACCTCAAGTTTTGCTCATAGCGCATGACTTTCTTGCTCACGAGAAACGCTTGAGTGCTGCATGAAAATACACCTATGAATTTTTATTAAAAGTTGAGTTATTTTGAACGTAAAATTGCAAAAAAATATTAAAAATTCTTGAATAACAGAAATGCTTACATAAGAATTCAAGCGCATGTGCAAGAATATCAAGCGATAGAACAAGAAGTTCAAGAGTTTGAGCTCGCCGAAAGGTCTCAAGTCTTGCCTCAAGATTTGTCCATAGCGCATGACTTTCTTGATCAAGATTCTCAAGTATCTCCTGCGCATACCAAAAGAAGTTCGTCTATGGCGATTTTTATATTTGTAAAATGGTCGCTACTAAGTCATTCAGTTTATTTGAAGGATTATGTGTTAAATAGAATTCAGAAAATTTTCTTGCAAATCGAATTCTTGGTTTCGTTTGAGGTCAGCTATCTCCTATGAGAAATATTGACGATTTCGATACTGATTTGAGTTCATATCTACCATCCGACCCACATTTACATTACATATCTATCTTTCAAACTATTATATATATATAAACATAGGAATGAATATCGGTTCGATCATAATTTAATTATTTATTATAGTATGATGAACCGTATCACTAAATTATTGAATGTATGAAGACGATAATCAATAATGATAATGGTGAACATGTTTTATCGTAATACGGAGAAGGCATTCATGGATATATTGATAAATCTGACAGATTGAGATATAAAAAAAATATCTATCCGATTCCATGTGTGAAAAATAATAACTGTACAGTACACTGGTTTGAGCCCCCCTTTTCAAAAAAAGAGATCTTACATTTGTTTTTCATTTTTCTTAATCTCGTCGATATATTTCTCGAATATCTTATTGATATTTTACTTCAAATGAAATTCTTTTTTGTTTTTCAAATTTGTAAAATATTTCATAATTAGAGAATTCAAAAGAAGTAAAAATCTTGACTTTGTCATGATGATCTCTTATATAAGATTGAATCTTAAAGGGTGTGATTAGTCGAAATTCTGTTCATATATGATTATTAAATAAATAAAATATAACCTTGAATTAATTGCCATTCATAAGCATTATTAGCATAAATTGGATAACCACCTAATTCGGAACAATAATCTATAACACCAGTTAAATTTCCTGATTGACTATCTGATTCAAGACGATAAATAAAATCATGTTGCTGATCAATTAATGACGCTAGTTTTATAGATAAATAAATAAATGAATGAATGAAACAAAAAAATTAACATACGAATAATTCTACACAGAGGATATCCACTTATATATTGATTATCACATCTATGAGAATATATTCCAAATGATTGAGGATTTCCACCAGATGATTGAATTATTGTACAATAATCATCATCATTATTTAAGGAATTAACATTTATGTCAAATCGTTCTTCATTTACATTTCTAACCTACGATTTTTGTTTTTTTTTGTTTAAAAGAAAAAAAAAATCATTTTTTTGAATAAAGAAGAAAAAACTAAACTTACATTTGATTCCCATTGTTGAAGTCTATTAATTCTTTTTAAACCAATAAAAAAAGTAAGTGTATCATTTCCAGCTGTATTTCTTTGATAACGAAATAATTGATGAATTGTCGTTAAAATAACATCTAAATTCATTTAATTATAATACAAAATAACATAAAAAAAGTGAAAAACATTGAAAAACTTTGAAGAATATCTTGTTCAGTTGTATTAAACCAATACATTAATGTTGCATTATTATTTGAACAAAATGTTAATGCTTGATCTCGTGTCATATTCCATGGAAATGTAAAATATTTTAAACGATTTTCAATCCAATGTTTCCCTATATAAAATATTTTTATTTTTATTTATTTATTTCTTATTCTTACATCCATTATCAATATTAATTGGTTCAATTGAAACTAAATCATTTTTACTTCGACATGTTATACTTGATTCTTTATTTTGTGTATAAAGAAATCCTCGATGTTCAATAGCAATATCAATGATTGATGTTTCTATATATATACAAAAATCTTTCAAGTTTTTTTTCTTTTATATTTATTTTCAAACCATTTATTCGATTATTAGCAAATCTATAAGTATTATACGATGATGATGTTGATCTTAAATAGATAAATAAATAAATAAATAAATAAATAAATAAACGAAAATGTATAACTAACTTAGCTGAGAGAATTCCATTTCTAAGAGCACTTGGAAATATTGACAATTGTAGAGAAATATTTTGAATTAATATTGGAGAATTTTCTCCAATCCATGGAGCAACACGACCATCATGCATTGCTGATTTACATACCAAAGAATTCTTTTTAGAAATTGATTTGCATTTTTTTTTATATAAAAAAGCTAAATTAAAAACAACATACTCCAGAATATGTTTCATTACCAAATATTGGATATTCATCTTGATTAGTCAAATATCTCATTGTATAACATGATGATGGGCATAATAATATACTATAATATATAAATTTAAATATATATATATAATATCAATGAAATTTAATATAAAACAAAAGGAAAAATAAACCTTGCATTTGGATACGAAGGATCGTATGTTACAGTAGCATTATCAAATGTCATAAAACATATTCTTGATAAATAAAATTGACCTGAATACGGAAAAAAATGCAGAAAAATAATGAATTACTTATTAATAAAAATTTAAAAAAAAAAAGTAAAATTCGAACCATTAATTATTGAAAATGTATTAATAAATATAAAAATAAGATAGAAGATAAATGACGAATAACAATCAACGTCCATTATAGGATTTCTAATGAATAAACGTATACGTTTAGAAAAAAAAATGTATGGATCTTATTAAAGTGAATAATAATGTCTTCGTTTCTTTTTCAAATATTGATCATCTTTAATCGAAGATCAATATTCTTTGCATGTCAAAAGACAAATAGAACGATCAACTAAAATTTGATAAAAAAAAAAAAAGAAAAAGAGAACATTGATTTGTTAATGACACCCACTCAACTATCATCAATTTATTTTCTCTTATCATTTCATCTATATTGACAGATTTGTTTTTTTTGAATTATACTTCATTTTATTTTTTATAATTATCATTTATTTTGGAAAATACAAATCAATAATTATCATTTAATCATTCAATATTATTTCATACTATTATTTTATATTAATTATTTATCATTTCAATAAATATTTATTAATATACAAACGATATTAAAATTATTTTAAAAATTTTGTTCAATATCAATTGAACATTTAAGTTTGAATGAGAGAAGAAGATTTTTTTGTTTTTATTATTTACTTAGTCAATATAGAACGATTGATTGAGAAGACGAATAATTCTGCTTATTCTAGAGATGTTTATATAGTATATTTCATTTTCAACAGCATTTTCAAACAAAAAAATCAAGGTTTCATTAATTCATATTCAATTATCTTTAAAAATTAACAAATATTTCTCATTTAGATGAAAAAGATAATTTCACATTGATATAATTATTTATCAAATAATAAACTTTAAAAATTGTTTTCTATAATTTAATTGCTTATGATCATATTTGAACTAAGCTGTAGCTTTTCATGCGACAATCCAGTCGTTATACAACTACTCGTAATCAGAACTGAATCAATTGTTGATATAATTTAGATTAATCTCTAATCGTTGTCAAGCACGTATTTTCATCTATATAATAAAAAGTAAATGATTTAGTCATTTCTATTCAATTATGATTTAGTGATTCTTGAGAATAAGATATCGTTTTGTCCGTTTAAGTTTTACTTTTTTTTCTAGAAAAGATATTATCTATTGGTCTTTTACTCATCATCTATTAAAAATCAAATATTTTATCTATAATGTATTATTCATAGAATTAATCATAAAAAACTTTTATCATCTAGAATGACAAAAAAGAAATATCATTGTCTTTAGACCATTTTTTTGAAACACAAAATATTCACCAAATAAGATTTTTTTTTTCTATTGTTCATATTAACAAGCTATTATGCAAGCTGAACACAAAATGACATAGTAATTTCTATGTCAATGACTACTAATTGAGAGATAGTCCCACTCAGAAACACATGCTAGATCATCTAACATTGAAAATAAGAGTAATCAATTGCTTCTTATCATTAGCAAAAACCTAGTAATATAGATTCGTCAAATATCAACAGATTCAGTCTTATCTATTGCACTACTAACTATCGAAGAGGCTCAAACCGAAGAAAACACATTTATCTGTGTTTTTATAAATATATTCATATAAATCGAATGTATAGCAGGTAAATAAGTTTCATTTCGTAATTTATTGCTAATAATATATGTTTATTAATTGACTGTCAAAATATTTGTTGAATTTTTCATCAATAAAAAATATTAAATAAAAAATCAAGTATACCTCTTATTCACAATAAGTTAATTAAAAAAAAACAAATGAAGTTTCTGCTTTTTAGATAATTTACTTCAAGCAAATTCAGTAAGCAATGAAAAATCATTAAGAGTAACTATATCTAAGGAATACAGTCAATGAATGATTTATCTATTTTCATTGACAATTCTTATATAAATTTCTGTACGTCAAACATGTGTAAAGAAGGAGACAGATTCTTAAAAGCATACGTGCCAGACATTGTTACATAAATATAAACGTATCATACGAGTATAATCATTTTTTATTGACATTTTAACAAGAAATAAAATGACACTATCAGAGAATCAAACATTAGTGATATGAATATGAAGAAAGGAAGTATATTGAAGAAAATAGACTTGATATGTATGGTGTGTTCGGTTCATTATGGAATAAATTTTGATAGTTTGTCATGTGATGATATTAAGTAATGGAAGTAATGTCAATCAATATCAAATGCACTTTCATGGGCGACTCCTGTTTTGATTCGAGCGATCAGAAAAAGTTATAACAAGTATATTAAACCAAATGCTGTATGCACCTATGTATTTTATATTCACGAAAAGTCACTCGTTATATATGAGCGATAAATACATGTGTAGTTGTGAAATAAAATCAACTTGTCTTAGACTTAGAAGCTTAATTCTAGAGTAAATTGATAGACTGCGTGTGTTTCCTTGATAAAAGAATTTATTGGATTTCGTATGATTATGTTGATGTCGTAATCGAGGTTCTTGTAAGGTTTTTGCTTGAGTCATACGATAAGAATTATTCGAAGTCTTGAAGTTTGATAGATCTCGCCATGTAACCTTATGTCTGACGTTTTAATCTGAGAAGTTTCACAACGATGATGTTCCTCACGATAGTGACTAGGTGACAATAGTTCCACTGGTTTTGCTTGAAAACCAGTACAAATGGTAGGTCACATTGAATCAGTCCTTACACTTCGATTCACTCTAATAATGTTGATGTATCGCAGTCCTTAGCATTGGCCACAGAGAACAAATCGAACCCTATTATATGAGATGAATAATTGAAGTTTGGATAGAAAACATTGTCTCCAATTGTTTACAGTTGAAACCGAAACACATAAGCACTACTGCTGATCCTTATGAATTCCATGATACATCGGTAATAGTGCGCGAACAAATGTACGACATGGAAAATTCAAGTGAAAGATTACGATTGACATATATATTTTTCTTCTTCATGGAATTCATTATTTATATTTGTCATTTGTTTGAAATGAAAACCTTGATAAAATCAAAATTAGAAGATCTCCAAAAAAAATTTCCTTTGTCAAATTCATAATGAAACCAATCGAGAACAAATCAAAAACGGTGAAAACGACGAGCTAAATAACTACTATTCAATTGATTCAGTTGATTCGTAACATATCACATATATGTCCAACTCAAGCAGACTTTAAAAAGCATAGGATAGGTGTGATGAGTGCTCGAAATTTTTGAAATGTATATTTTATGTTCGTTCTGTTCTAATTTTGAGTCCCTCGGTAGCCATCGGTTTTTGAGCACTCGAGAAAAGAAACACATCAGAATTGTAATATTGAATGCTTCAATACGAAGCAAACCAAGCAGAATAACAGTTTTCCGTGTTGAAGCTAATTTTGATTTTGTGAAACTTCTTCAAAAAGTGATTTACAAATATGTTTTTCTTAAAGTTACCTCAGTAGGTTGATTTATGTGTTCATAATTTTCGAAAAAAATATTTAACTTTAAACGATAGAAAACAAATTTACGACTACATTCATTCATTGAGAAAAAACGATCAAGACTGCAAAAAAATTGTTAGACTTTGAAAAGAATCACATTCAGAATAATTTAATTGATATGCTATTGATCGTATAAATAATTTTAAAAGCCAAAAAAAAATAATGAAAGATGAAAAGTGTGAAAGTAAATTAATAAATTAATTTATTGAGAAACGAAATAAAATAAAATACTTTAATGCATAACAAGAAGAGCATCAGTTGCAACACGTTGTGTTTGTTCAAATATTGGATGAGAATTTCTTCCATTTGAATATTCATGCTCAATAACAGTTAATCCACAACTACTTACTGATCGAGTTGGAATTAAATGAGGAGTTTCATTTGTAAAAAATTTTTCATCGATATTTTCATTTGATCTTAACAAAAATAAAAATAAAATAAAATAGAAACAAATAAAATGAACTTTTTATTTTGAAATAAAAACAAACTGATTTAAAATTATTGATGATGTTGATGGATCATCTTGTTTTAATTGACTTAAATAATTAAATTTCCAATAAGATAATGGAAATAGACAAAGAAAACAAAATAACATAATTGAAATAAATAAATATAATAAAAGAAATATAATATAAATAATAAATAAATAATCAATTAAACCAGAATAAAATAATTTTAATGTTAAAATAATAAATGGAAATTGACATGTTACACTTAATATAACAAATAATAAATAGAATATTAATGAACGACGAATTGATCTTTCAAATAAATATTGATCATCCAAATTTGATAAACGCATTAACTTTTTAAAAATTTTTGTTTTTATTTAAATGAGGAAAAAAACAAAAAGAAATTATTCTTATTTACCTGATTTGATATTTGATATTGTTGTTGAGAATAAATACGTATACCAAAATGATATAATGCATGATTTGTTAATAATAAAAATAATATTGAAATAATTAATGATGATATTAATAAATAAGAATAAACAATAATTGATTCAAGTTTAAATAAAACTTCAAATGTTCCATATATAAATATAGTTAATAATATTGAAATAATTGAATGAATACTCATTATTAAACTTAAATATTTATTTATTTTATAAAATGAATTTGAATAAGAAAAATGATATCGAATTAAAACAAGAAATAAATTTATTATTTGACATGATGCTGATGAATTTGTATCCATAATCACAATTGATTGACCATCTTTTTTAACACGTTTCATACCATTTCCAATTAGAAAATCAATTGATGATTCAAACAGAAAATCTTAAAAACATTTTTTCATTTTTATTTATACATTATTATATTTTTTTTTTTTAAATTTTACATAAAAAAAAAACAAACTCTTTATTATCAGACTAACTAAAAATTTCGCTTGGAATAGTTTTTAAAGGGTTTACATTTATTTTTAGTATAGTATCATCACATTTTAAATTATGCTTATCTTATTTAGATAATTGATTCGAACTTTTCCTATTTTAAAAGGAATCTATTTATAATTTAAATCTGATTTCAAATGTTAATATTATATTCATGATATTAGTTTCCGAAAAAAAAACAAAATTGTCTTTATCAAACAATCGATCGAAATAATTCTACATTAATTATATTAAAATTGATTTTCAGTTGATCTTAAACGAGTAAAACAATGATGCATTCACACGTATAAATTTCATTTCAAACAAGAACAATCTGTTTAATGACAAAAATAAGATGTTCTTGAAAATCTCTTTCTTATTTTATTTCAATAAAATGATTCTTAGCTTAATTCAAGTAAAATCTTTATTTAATTAACTTGAATTAAATATATTATTTTAAATAATTATCTTTTGAAATTTAATCTATTTATTAATCATATATATATGGTTATATATTCATATTTATATTATAGAACTCAAATCACTCTAAACTCTTCAAAGATATGTATCGCTTTTATCATCACTTTTCATAAATCGGTGACGAAATAAGAATTGGATGACAATGAAAAATCAAACTGAAATATTATTTAGTAAATAGATATAAATAAGATAACATTTGAAATGATTGATTATTCGATTTAACCAAAAAAAAAAAGAAAAATTTTCAAATATAATTAATGATTAACTTACTTTGATCTTTTATATTAGCATAAATAAGTTGACTATTAAGAAGAATTTTTGGTAATAGAATAAGTATTGATATATGAATATCAAATAAAGATAATAATGGTAAAGATTTAATTGTATTATAATCATATTTATATAAATAAAATGGATAATCTTCAATTGAATTTCCAAATCCATTGAAAAAATTAAATATTGTTGAAATTGATGATGAAACAATTGTAAAAGCAATTAATATTAAACATATAATAAGAATTGTTTCTTTTGATTTATCTTCAACTGATGAATCAAAATAACGAATGATTCCAAGATTATCAACATGACAATAGATTTCAATTAAAAAACAACCTATTCTATACCATATATAACCTAATGAAGGTTTTAATTCAATTATTGACATAGTTATATTATTTAACATATAACATATCACTATAAAATGATGATTGAGAATAAAAAAAAGAAGAGGAAAAAAATGAATTAAATTGAAGTAACGATGTTCTACATTAATACTAATCTCGATAATCCATTAAATAAACATTTATTTATTTATTTATTTCTCGTTCGATCGAACTATTTTATATGATTAACTGTCAATATAAAAACAAATATTTTCATATTAATTAACAAGTTTTATTCTCAATCAAATAATCATTTATCATAATTAACCTAAAAATACCAAATTCAAATTTTAATTTAAAAACAAAAAGAAAAAAACTTTGAATAAATAATCGTTTCTTTTGTTTTTTTTATTAAAAAGAAAATAATGAATAACAAAAGATAGATCTTATATTTGATGATGATAATATTTATCTTCTGTACACAAGAAAAAAAAATCGAAAATAAAAGAAAAAAACGAAAGAAGAAGATTTATTAATGATCTTATCAAAATGATTAATAATTTATTGATTTGAAATTCTAGGTAATATTGATATTGGAAGAATATTTATTCCTGTTTGTTTATCTTGTTCATTTGCAAACGTTTCTTCATTTCCTGTTGTTTCATTTAAACTAAAATCTAAAAAAAGAAACAGAAAAAAATAAATTAAATAAAAGAAAAAAAAATGTTTACAAGAATCAGCATTGACAGTTGAAATATTTTCATCTTTTTTTGTTCTATATCTATTTTTTGATTCTCTTGATGTTCGTTGTTTTAATTTAGTTTCAATTATCCATGCATGACGTAAACCTTCTTCTGGTGTTAAACGTTCAACAGGATCCCATCTATTAATAAAAGAGTTCTTTTTATTTTATATATATATTTTATAGAATATATTTAAAACAAACTCAAAACATCGACGAATAAAATCAATAAAATTTTGATCAGTTGTTCGAAGAATTTGTCCTAATGGACGACTAGCTGGACGACGTTTTTTTAATGTTTTTGTTGATAGACTTCGAGGTACTCCTTTTGAATCTAATAATATTATTTTTTTTTAGAATTATTTAAATATATCACAACTAAATTTAAAAAGACAAACCAAAAAAAAGTTTTTTTCTTGATCCTTGTTCAAGAACATGATTCGGTGGTACATCAATAACTTCCATTATCATTGATAATTGTTCTTGTTCATTTTCACCAGGAAATATTGGATAACCTTTTTTTTTTTTGTCAAATGAAAAATAGAATAAATTAAAATTGTTTTATATTAATAAATAAAACAAACCAGTAAATAATTCGACAAGAATACAACCAAAACTCCACATATCAATAGCTGGTGTATAAGGTATACCTAAGATTATTTCAGGTGCTCGATAAAATCGAGATTGAATATATGTATAAACTAAATAGAAATAAAATAATTATTTTCAAATTAATATAATATATATTAACTTCTTTGTGATTGAAAACACCCAGATCCAAAATCAATAACTTTAATACTACTACTGCCTTTTTGTCTTAATAATATATTTTCCTATAAATAAACATTTTTTTTTCAAAAATTAACTTAAATATGAAAAAAAAAAAAAAAATTTTTTTTTTTGTCAAAATTCATTACTGGTTTAAGATCACAATGAATTATTTTTTCTCTGTACATAACACGAAGACATTGTAAAAGAGAATTAGCAAAACGTCTGACTAAATGTACACTAAAACCTTGATAATTATTTTTTTTAATTAATTCATATAAATTAATTCTAAATAAAATAAAAATTATTTACAAAAAAAAAAAGAAAAAAAATCTTACCCAAGTAATTCAAATGTAATACAAAGATGAGATCGAAAATAAAAATGTTCTTTTATATGAACAATATTTAATGAATTATCCGTATCTAATGTTTTTAAATGTTTTAATATATTAACTTCAACAAGACCTTGTTGTTGAAAACGTTTTTTATTTCGAATTATTTTTAAAGCAACAGCTTCTTTTTTCTTATGATCATAACATCGAAGAACAAGACCAAATGAACCTTTGCCCAATGTTTCTAATATTTCAAATCGATAATAAATATGATCTTTACTCATTTTAATATAAGAACCATTTTCATCATCATAATCTTTAATGTTAGTTGCTGAAATTTTTTCAGCTTCTAAGCCAAGAAAATAAATTTCATTATAATCAAATATTTCCGTTTTTTCAAAATCAGTCAATTTATCACCATAATATGATACGGCTTCTGAATTTAAAGAAGAAGAAAAACAAATAAATAAAATAAAAGAATTATGTATTATTTTTAATAAAAATAAAACTAAACCTGATGGTTTCATTGGAAAATTAGCTGTTTTATTAATATTATCCGTTGAATTATTAGTAAAAAAACTTCTTGATCTTGAAATTTGATAAGAATTTGAAATAATTGAAGAAGCACTTGAATTATGATGATATAAACTATGATTATTTGTTATATCTGTTTCTTTTGAAGATGATTTTAAACTTCCTTCACGAGTTTTTTCTCGACGTATAGTTCTTGCTGTAAGAGCAGCTGCACCATGACTATTATTATGAGCATGAGAATGATGAACTATTGTTTGATGTAAACGAGCTGATGTTCCACCTGATACAAGTGAATCATTTAGATATGGTAATGATGATTCAATATTTGAGTTATTAAACGATTTTCCACTACGATTTCCACTTGTTATGTGTTGTTTATCAGATACTCGAGGAAATGAACCATTTAAGAGAGTTTGAACAGATAATTTCTATTGAAATTTCTTTTTATATTTAAATTAAAATAGAAAAAAAGATAAAAAAAGAACCTGAACTTTAGCCAAAGGTTTTGATGTTATACTTAATCCAATATCACCAAATGAATTTTCCATATCGCGTAAATCAATACCACTTGTATTTTGACCCGATCCATAACTAGTAGTATTTCCATTATTCGACTAAATTACAAATTAAAAATATTTAATAAAAATATAATAAATATAATCGTAAAAAAAAAGAGAAAGACCTTAGCTGTCGACGGTCCTTTACTTTCTCGCATTTTAGTGAGCAACATTATTCTTGTTCCATCGAATGTTTGATTACTGTCAACCTCAATTACTGATTCGATCACACATATAAACAAAGACAATATTGAAAACACTTTTTTTCGTCTTCGTTACCATTTAATGGCATTACATCTATTTATAATAGAACTAACGAAAAAAACGAACGAAAAAACGAAAAAAAAAAATCAATAAGATTTTTTTAATATTATTTTACTTGATAGAATAGCATTTAGATTTGTAAAAGTTCATTTATCAAATTCATTTGAACAGAGTAACAAATCGACATACAATTAACAATGAAATTCATCTTTTATTATTTTAATTGTATTTTGTTTCTGAACTATTTCTTGATATGAGTCAATTAGCTTCCTTATTACTTTGATTGCTAAAAAAAAACTTGGAAGTTAATCAAGTAAAAATAATAAAAAAGAAATATTTGTTTCTTTCTCTTTTTCAAAGCCAATCATTATTTCAATATTTGATTGTTTAGCTCATTGTCAAAAACAAATGTTTTTTTCTTCTTTTTTTCATATTGACGAGAATATTTCTTTTTTTTTTGTTTTTTTTCCACGATACACATCTTGAGTCGTTATTTACTTTAACTATATATTCGTTTTTTCTTAATATTATATTAACTAAGAACGATATTCTTATTTTCAGTTAATATCGATTATTATCTTGTTCATCATAGTCAATCTAACTAATTATTCAAATATAATGTTAATAAAATCTTATCTTTTTTTTTTAATTGAAGTAATCTATTCATAAAAAATATTATTTATTATTCATTAATATTATTTCTAATCAATTCATATTTAATCATTAAATATAGAGATTGATAATTGACTGTTTTTACAATATTATTCAAAGCAGAGTTTATCATAACACGATTCAAAACGAACTAAATCAACACATTTAATCTCTTATATATTGTCTATAACTATTCTATATATATATATTATAATGAAATAATTGTCCAACATAAATTCTTAATATTAAATAGATCAATTATAATAAAGACTGTCAAACTGATATGAAAATATTGTTTAGGAATATTATTTCTCTATATAATACATAGAGAATAATTCTAGACAATATGTGAGAGACCATTCGAAATAATCGATCAAATATATCATAGAAAAATATTCAACGTATGTCAAATAATGAATAACTATTTATGTTTAGTTTGTGTAGATCTAAAAGAGAGTATGATTAAAATGTTTTATTTATGAAATAGTGATCATAATGTTTTAATGAATTGTAAGTGTCAGTATGGTCTTGGTTATGAATAGACTAAATACAAATATAATCAATAGTATAAATATGTATTTGCTTGTGTATATTAAATATTGAGCGAATGAAAATTGAATTCGTTTTGAAGATGATCGAAATAAAAGAGTTTTTTTTATATGCACACCCACACCCTTCGAATTAATTTCTGAAATAAATCTCAAAGAGTTTGTCGATATTCAATATTGATTATTGATCGATTTGATAATTTAATAATGATATAGAGAGAAGGAAACGATATGTAACCAAGAGGAAAATTTATTCTTTGGTCGACATGATTTATTTTAACGATTTTATTTCATTTATTAATATTGATTTTAATTGAATATCCTTCTTAGAATAATCAATCGTGACTCTACTTTTTTAAATTAAAGTATTAATCAGTTGAAAATGGTTAAAAACCATAAAACGAAGTTCAATCTATATATGTCACTCGAAAAATTTTCTAAGGTAAATAGAACTGATAGAACAAATTCAAAATTAGTTCATGTAGCTGAATCTTCAGGTTTTTAAGAAAAAAAAGTGAAATATTGCTGGTAAATGTGTAGACATACAGAAATGTTTGATCCGATGCATTTTTTCTGTTGTCAGATGATGTGTACATTGTTTATTTATTTATCTTGATACACTAAATATAATTGCAATGAGTTTATTGTTTATGTATGTGAAAGAATCATTTTTTGAGATGATTCATTAAACTAATTATCGAGAATATTCTAACTGAAATTTGATTTCATTATTCAAGTATCGTTAATTCATTTTTTTCTTAATCAATATCTATCTTATTTATTGTCACTTTTTTAAATATAAACAAGAAAATAAATCGTAACTATAATCATAAAGAGTTATATCGTCATTTTACTTAATAGAAATATTTCGTGGTTGTTTTGTAATCTTGGAATATAAATAAGAATGAACAATTTATGATATTAATCTGAATAAAATGACAATCTGACGATTGAATTCTAATTGAAAAAAGGTGCCCTAAAGAATGAAAGACAAAAATAAATTTTGAATTTATTTCAAAGACCTTTATTCATGACAATGATTATCAATTATTAATTTAAATATAATTTATTATTACTTTAATTATTAATCAAAATAAAAATCAATAAAAAGCAAACAAGTTATCATTTTTTTTATTATCTGATATATTCTTAGGGGAGGAAAAAAGTTCGCGGCACTTTTGTAATCGATATATTTCAGCAGCCGCGTAAGTCATCGTACAAGTAAATAAACATTTTCAAGAGTATTTCATGCTCTTTCGAAATATATGTTCAGAAGTTTTTTTTTAAACTTATGGCTGGTTTATTAAGAGCAAATTTTTTGAAAAGACTAAAAACAATGTTTGTACAAAACATTCAATTAACCGATCTTAGTACATATGTTCGCTCGTTTTTGAGACATCTAGATGCCGTCGAAGAGAATGAAAAGCAGTCAGACAAAGTCAAAATTTGATGCTCCTCCTAAAGGTATCTTCAGAATTATTCTCTGATTTAAGGCTGATCAGCTGTGAGTAAATATTTGAATAAATCAGAAAAAAATCTGCGCTCAGTAAAGTAGGCTTTTTCCAGTCATTTGTATTTTATGATTTAAAATGCAGTAAATTTCGATCCTTTATAGCGGTACTTAACAAAAGTAACAAATTGTTCATTTTATATAGAAAGCTTCGCTCTATAAACTGGTGTATAAAAAGATTTTCTGATAGCCCGTATAGAAGTAATTTTAATCAAAATACGAAAATGGAATGCTTGAAAAATCCTTTGCAAATGTCCTTTTTTGGTTTATTCAGGGATTTGTTCTTACTGAACTATCCATAAGTCAGAAAAAAAAATTGAGTAAGTATATAGAAAGAATATGAAATACTCTTTAAAATGACTACTAACTTGTTGCAATCACTTAAGTGGCTGCTGAAATATCGATTACAAAACTGCGGCGAACTTCTTTTCTATACCTTACATGGCTTGTTATATTTACAGTAAAATAAAACTACTTTTTGTAAGAAGGTTTATCTTTTTTTTTCACAGCTCGTCTGGTCACTTCGTAATCTGACTGAGATAGATTCCTTGTGCATGTTATGCCGAAAGTAGTGTAGTACTCTGGAAGCTTATCATGTTCGTAGGTCCCTGTCCTTGTTATGTACGTCATACCTGCGTTCATGCTCTACCAAATCGTTCATGGTCCATTCTGCGTGTATCCATTTCAGGCTTAAAGAAGGTATTCTTGGTTGCTAGCGTGCGTACCCGAATGAGCTGAGAATACCTAGAAAGACAAGTGAGTAGCAATCAAAATCAATTTATTGAGCAAGAACGGGAAAAAAATTACAATTTCTTTCGAACTTTGTCAAATGTTATTTTATAGTTCCAAAGATGAGAATGATTTGAAGGCAATTTCTCTTGGGCAATTTCTATCGCTTGTTGAACATATTTCATTGCCATACTATATTGTCGTGAAGCTAAATATAATTTTGCAAAATTATGATAAATTACTGCTAAATCAGGATGATATTTTGGTAGTTTGTTTTCACGTATTTCTAAACCTTTTTGAAAATACGTCAATACTGTTGAATAATCTTTCATTTTTCGGTAAGTTTCACCTAAATGTATATATGTCGTTGCACATTGTAGAGGATTGCATTGAACATTTTCTTGAAAATTTAATGCTTTTCGATGAAATGAAAGTGCTCTTTCATAATTACCCATTAATCGATGAACATCACCGATATTTCTGTATGTAAGAGCCTGATTGAGATGTATTTCAGGTAAGGCTATTTGACGTATTGAGAGACACTTTTCAAAATAATCTAGAGTCTTTGCGTAATCTTTCATGCCGCGATAATCTCTTCCCAACCAGTGGTACGTAGTAGCCAAATCAGGATGATTCGGGAGCAGAGCTTTTCTTTTGATTTCGAGATCTTTTTCAAAAAACTCAAGCACTTTTGAGTAGTCATCCATGTTGTTATACCATTTGCCGATGTTATTGTAGGAAATAGCAAAATCGCGATGGTTCGGTGGTAGAATCTTCTCGAATATTTGATTTGATTTTTCGTAAAATTCAAGTGCTTTCCAGTAGTCACTCATATTATTATACACTAGACCAAAGTTATCGCAGGAAATAGCTAGTGAAGGATGGCCTTCCAAGAGAGTTTTTCGTTTAATTTTGAGATATTTCTTATAAGATGAAACTGCTTCTTTGTATTCTCCTCGCTTTTCTTTCACAAATCCGAGGTGGTGATAGATAAGTGCTTTATCACTATCGTTCGATGCCTGTTCTAGTAGTGCGGTATACAATTCTTCGGCCTTCTCCAACTGGCCTATTTTGAGGAGCAATTTACCCATTCGATGCCATCGTCTGCCACTGACCTCTCTTCGTATACAGTCAGTTAATTGACGTAGTTGTTGGTCGTCATCTGACGTAAGTTTGAGGTCCACTTCATAAAGTGATTTTTTTCTTATCAATTTTTCGAACTTCACCAATCCGAAAAACTGTGTGCATGGAGAAGAGGATTTCCTCTTCTTGTCCTAAATCACTCAGTTCTCGGATGGAAGCAAATGGAGTTGATGAGACCGTAGGATCGATGGTCATTTGAAAAATAAGATCGACCATCTCAGTTATTCCTAAGGCATCTTCGGCAAATCCGAGGAAGATAATTCGGTTTTTACTGGTGAACAACAAATTATTGAATGATATAAGTCCACCTTTGTTTTTTACAATTTTTTCAAAGTCTGGTTTTGGTAATCCCTGCCCCAAAAACACTGTAAAAGTCTTACCATGATATTGATTGATCTGCTTGCTATGTAAATCTTCAATTTGTCGGTGTACATTACAAAGATAAAAACCCATCCTAATGATAATGTCGCCGTCAAGTGTTTGTAATGCTCGATTGAGCATCTTGAATGTGAAACATTGGCGTGTATACCACCAAATAGCCAATAATGATTGATAGGTTAGTTGAAATTCTTGAATAAGTTTAAGTTCTTGAGGATTGGCTTGGTATTTTTGTTGGCAAAAAGTCACCAAAGCTTTGATGGCTTCTAGGCCGTGTTTCATATCAAGGAGTATTCCCTTGAATATTTGACTATACATGAAGGATGGTTCTAGCTGATTGAGATTTTCGCTAGAACGTCCTTCATTGACACCAATAATACTGACAGTTATTTGGTCTTGATTGCATTGCTTGACAGCCACTGCTAACGCTTCACATATGGGATTGATTGACGTATGAACACCTTTGACTTTTGCCCAATTTTTGACCCATACTTCATGCCGTTGTTTATTGCCACAAAAGATGTATATGGCATCAAGTTTCGGCATGCCATGAATGTATGGTACAAGATGTTGTCCAAGTGCGCCAGAGGAAATGACGAAGGATATTTTCTCATTGTTTTCTTGAAGCTTCTCAACGCATTGTTCGACCGTGGTGCATGGGTTGACTTCATTAACAATAGTGCGCAATTGTGCAAGTGTGTTTTGGCAATCTTCATCTGCCATGTCGATATTTCCATCAGCCCAGATGACTATGTAATTTTCAGTCATGCGTTGACGACTCATTTTAAAGCAAACTTTTGCTGTTAAATCGATAATTCAGTATGATGAATAGTGGGTTGCTGTTTAAACGGAGATCACTTTTTCTATTTATAAATTCGATACCTGATTCTTTTTCTACCACCTCAAATGTGGACCTTTTTCTCCGTTGACACTCAAAGATAAAGTCTCATTAGTTTCAAATGATAATATGGTTAGCAACAACAAATGTAAGAGGAAAGTGTAACAATATCATTTATTCTATGCTTATTCTTTCTAACTTATATTTGCTCTGTTTAACGTGGACTTTTATTGTCCTTATAAAACAAGGTTGACAATGCAAGATAAGAAGAAATTAAGCACTAGTAAATAGAATGATGAGAATAAGATAGCAAGAAGATAAATACAATGAGAGAAAGTAAGAGCACCATCATCGTTAATGTGTAGGCAAATAATATCTTAGGTTGAAGAAACATAGAAATGTAGAAGGACAAAGGATAGAAAAAAATGTTGATAATGGCTGTTTTACATCATAGAGAGTAAGTTAACGGATAAAAAAAGACAAAATTTAATACGTGTCGTCACAATATATTCACCACGTTCGGCTTAATTGTGTGAGCACAATTCTTGTGTCTTCAACAGTTATTTATATATCAAAAAAACTGATAAAGTTAGCAGTAGATTTGTGTTGTTCGGGAAAACATTTGCCAGTGAATGGGTACCGCTGTGAATGTGAAGTATAGATGAGTATATGTAAATGTGTTTGTAGCTATGAGTAGATGCGGTTGTCTGAGTAGATGTCGATGAGAGAGCGAAAAGAAAAACCGCATTCACACCCACATCACACAATCATACTTAGCACAAATGATTGCAGAAATGCTTGATCACGATATGAGTCTAAAACCTTGGTTCCGACAATCTTCAATCACCTAAACGTCCATCCTGCCGATGAACCAGGTCGACTTTAGTGACAATCAATAGATCTCATCGGTTTTTACCTGGTACAAATGTCGAACCGAATATTCATTGATGACATGTTTTGAAATCTCCAATCTCACAAGTCTTTGACTTTCTAGACTTGCATTCTGCCGATGTATAAGCTCATAACCGATAGACGTCATCGAGGTTTATCTAATACAAATGATTTCTCAATTGAAATCGTTCTCGAAACTGATATTTGACTAAATTCTTGCATTTCTACTACAAACAGAGTTTGGAATGTGTTTTTTTTTGAATTTCCAAGGAATTTTTTGCAATGAAAATTTCTTGAAAGTTATGCCTCCGAAAATCTATTCAGTGTACTATGTAGCATTACCAACATATTTTTTTGGTACAAGTCTGTTGAAGAATGTTCACCGATAAACTTGAATTAGCTGTTAACTTTACTGGCACATTTAAAAAAAATATGCTGAACATATCGCATGTCTATGGTATCCACATCGCTGCGAATAGAAGCTCAAAAGCTCTCACAGGGCGATTTTAGTTAGTCTCTTGCAATTCTATTTTCTCTTTGACGATTATTATATATTGATCAATATTTGTCTTATATACTTCAGTTTATAATAAGCAAATCAACTAGATAATTCGATACGATCTCATATTCTTTTATATTAGCTGAATTTAAGTTAAATATATAGTTTTTCGAAAAGAGTCTCTTTTTTTTTTCTTTGATAATCAGGCAATGAATTCTAACTGAAAGAGATAATTCCATTGCATCAGAACACAATCCTATGTAGAATAGTCATCCTACAATTCAATCAATTATAATTTAATCCTTTGCTGTTGTTGTGTGCTTCTATCCGACTTACTTGTCAGTTTTGCGTCTGATACTACATTAAGATTTCCTGTTGTGGACTATTTCTCTTCTCTTTGAAAATCTCTAGTCTCTTGTTGGAATATTATATCTCTATGAAGAATCATGGGTAACTTCAAAACAAAATAAATGTAACTGTGGGCACACATGAAATCTCCAACAACTATAGTAAAATGATCATAATTTATCGCTTATTTTCTGTTTGTCTTTCTCATTGAAAAAGCATAAAAAAAGTAACTTGTCAGGTGTGTAAAGAAAAAGATTTAACAAAGACTTTGTATTAAACAAAAACAAAAAAAAGTTAAATATGAATAAGATCATCATTTTAATAAGCAAACGAAGTTTTTACTCTTTTTCAATCATGAATAATAAAAAGACAAAAATAATGATAATTCACAGTAAAAATCTCTGTCCTTTTTATCTATAGAAGAAAACATACAGTCAACATATGCACATATTTCTACAATTTGAAAATAAAATAATTCAATCGAACATTTTTTTTTTGATCGTTTTCAATCCTCTTATGGAAAAGGTTAAACGACAATTTTTGCGATTTTGTATATATTTATATATCCACCAATCGAACAACATCTCAGTCTTGAGAAACAAATAACATATAGACCTTTATATAACACAAAATTTATATGAATAAATCCAAGCGGACATCAGACAACAACAACGAAGGACTAATTGAAGAGAAAAAAAACAAAAGATATGAACATACGAAATCGACTTGATAGATCTAGAATTATAAAAAGAAATAATTTAATTTATGAAATAAACTTTCATATGAATATAATATTGGTCCTTGTTAATTTTTCTGTTATTCTCAAGATTAAAATACTGCTCTAGACCAATCGAAAATTTGAAGTCAATCTATTTATTTATTTCTAAAATAAACATTGACAAAATGTCTGAATCTATTTTGAATTAATTATTTAGATTTTTTCTTCTCAGTTAATACCGAATAATTCTCGTCTTAATATTTCGTTCATATGTTGAAAAAAAAGTCTTGTTCTTATAGAATATACTCACATATTAGACTAATATCATGAATAGTGACTTGCATTTTGTTTTTAATGATGCAATTTCATAATTAAAATAGCTGAGAAGATAAAAAAATAATAAAATTCTATAGGATTGAAATTTTCACCCTTGCATCTTTGTTCGTTCGAGATAAAATCTAACGTTTGATTGTCAAATAGTCATTTGTTACACTAATAAATGAAACTAAAAACTGATATTTTAGATTTATTTTGTAAACCATCAATGATAATATGATGAGAATTAATTAGTTTCCAAGGCATTATACTTGTTTTCTTTATTTATATTAATTGATAATCTATGGAATTATTTCAATATAAAATAAATAAACTTATATAAAGACTTCATAAGATACTATTTAAAGGACTTAGAAATAAAATAAAGAAATATTTTTCTTCTTCAATAAACAAATCATAAGCACGTTTTTTTCCTTAAATCTCAAAAATAAATGAAATACATCTTCTCTCAAATTTTGGACATCAAATAATAAAAAAACAAACCCTATAAATCTGTTAAGTTGTCGGATTTATTTATAAAAAAAAAGAAAAAAAAATCTTATAAATAAAAAAAAAAAAGAAGTTAAATAGAATAATAAATGATAATTATTTAAATAAATAATATTGTTTTAATTGTCGATGAAGAGAGAATTCCATTTTCATTTTGTATTAAATTGAAAGGATTCATTTCATTAATAATATTGAATGAATACGATCATTCATCATCATTGCTGACCGGATAGAAGAGAACTCGACCGGATACGAAATAAAAACGGATATACATTGAAATATGTTCTAATTAACAAGGCAAACAGAAAGTCATCGACGCCATTGAGTGGAAAGAGAAATGACAATGAATATGAATATTAGAATGAGAACAACGAATCTACATCCTATTCAATCGACACACATCAACATACATTAGAATATACATACATATATATATATATATATAGACATAATTAGTTGTCTACTTCTATTCCAATCAACTAAACACATTTAATAACAGTTGGAGACTTAAATCGATGAACAATACGTGCCTTTCTTTTACCTTATAATTATAGAAAACGAATGAAAATCGACGGGGAGTCTTTATGTAATATTTATATAAATGAATTTATTTTTTTTGATTTTTATTCTGATAAATATTGTTGATCATGCCAATAATAAAGATCTTCATCTTTTACATTTATTGGAATAACAATATTTGATTGTTGATCAGTGGAATAAATAATTGATGTTGTTGTTGTTGTTGTAGTTGTTGTTGGCATTGTTGTTTGAAGAAGTTGACGAAGATTGTCAATATATATCATAGCTGATTTAAGTGTATCAACTTTGGAAAGTTTTTTATTATGTTTATCATGTGGAATATGTTGACGAAGAATTTCAAAACAAGCATTTATATGACGAACACGATTTCTTTCACGAGCATTTCGACGTGTTGTACCTATTTTAACTTGTTTTCTGCCACCACGATTTCGTTCATTTCCTTTTTCTTCTTGTTCTTCTTCCATTTCCATCATTTCATATAAATGACCTTGGCGTCAAATATTTTCATCAATTTTAAAAAGAAAGAGAATAACACTATGATTGGTCAAGATTTCTTTTTTTTTTTTTTCTTCGAAATGAAAAATGACTAAAGAGAAATAATAGTTCATTGAAATGGAAGAGAATATTATTGTTCGAGTAGTGGATTATACATTCATAATCAATTACATAATCTTCAATTGATAAGCTGATCCTTGTTCATATGACATCATTATTATGTTCTTTTCTTTCATCTTTTTTTTTCAACTATCCTCATTAAACATATAAGACAAATCAGTTCGATTTAATATATTTCATCAAACATTAATTCTACGTATATCAGAATAATTAAAAAATTGTTTTTATAGAAAAGAAAACAATAGTGTACACAATGTAAATGTGACATTTAATGATGTGTAAGATGTTATAGAGAACATCAATTGATTTAATTGATCCAAATTTCATATTGTTATTGTTCTCATTTGTTTGCTCCGATTATTTTTTATAAAAAAAAATTGATTCAAAAGAATTTCTTAATTATTTGTTAAAAGAAACTGAATAGGATCTAATCAAGAAATTTTTCATAAATATATATTCTCTCGTTTTCTTTTGTTCAGATTTTTCTAAAAAAACACCTGCAACTATATCAAACAAATCAACTTGCCGCTCCTATATTTCGTGTCTTATTGACTTTTTCATAAGAAAAAAACACACACACACAGACACATATTTGATTAACTTTAAAGAAAAGAAAAGAAATATGTTTTTCTTCTTCTTTTTTTTTTGTTAAAAGGAATAATTCGATTAGCTAAATGTTTTTTTTTCTCTAACTTTCAAAATGTTCAAATTATAAAAACATATTGAGAAGTTTTTATTCTAAAACATATCATATTTAACTTATTGATCGACAAAGCTTATTGAATTGTTTGATTTTTCAATAGAACGGATATTTGACAATTATTTCATGACATTTTTCACATATGAAAATGAGTTTTTTTTTCAAAGAGATCTTTATTTTGTTTGTTCGATAAATTATATTTCAAAGTATTTTACTCAAATGACATTTTAATTACAGAAATTTACTCTTCATTCTATATATTGAATAATCAGAGGCAGCGCGAAGAGGTCAGAACAGGGGGAGTATCCAAAAATCAGAGAAAGTAGCCTAAAATTTTTCTCAAAATTTATAAAATTTGTCCGATTATTTTTCCAAAATTGGAGAAAACTGTTTAATAATCTCTCTAAATTAGGAGAAGAGCTGAGCCAAAATTCTCAAAGCAAGGGGAAATACCCTCCCCCGCTCGCGCCGCCCCTGTGAATAATAATATATATATAAAATAAATTCAAACCTTTGAAAATTTAACTGAAGTTTAATTTTGACTACAACGTATATATTGTATACGAAATAAAAATAGATTGAATAAAAGCGACCAATGAAATAATTCTTTCTCTTTCTATTGAACTTAAATCACAAATCAATGAACAGATTTTTATTTTTACATATCAGCTTCGATATTTTTTTTTTTTATTATGAATAAACGATTTTGATTAGTTTTATTTCGATAAAAAAAAAAAATTTTTTTGACCAAATTAATCGACGCTTGGAAAATGAAGGAGAGATCTTTTTTTAAAAATATCCATCATTGTCATTAAAGAACATTCTCAATATGATCATCGAACAAAAAAAAAAAAAGAACGAAACTTGCTGAGATTGTAAGTGAAGGAGATGTGGATGAAAAAAGTCTAGATGATTGACTAATGATTGCCTAATGAAGACAGTAACGATTATATATCGAATACGATTCATAAATAAATTTCATTTTAATTAATTAGATTTTGAGATGAAATCAATTAAAATAAATTTTGTTGAATGTTTAGCAATTATATTTAAAAATCTAAAAAAAATTCATTGTATTGAAACATGTCACAAAATAAATACTTTAATTTTTATTTTAAATCAATTGGAAACAATTATTTATCAATAAGAATTCGATAAATTTTTTTTTCATTTATTTATCGTTAAATGAAACATGTTTGAAAGAGAATAGTTACTTTTGACAGAAACATTTAATCGTATCTTTAGTTTAAAATTTAATAAAAAAAAAAAAGAAACAATATTCAATTAGAGAAAAATATTCCACTTAGAAAAAGAAAGAAGTTTTTTTATGAAATTGAAATATAGGATACTTGAATATGCGTTCAATTTTCAATAAAATCTGAATTAATTAGTAAATAATTCTATATGATCTGTGATATGACACAAACGGTCAATATATTCGAATGACATTCATATACGAAGGAGATGATTGTGGATCGAGCCAATAACCACACTCAATCATACCCTCAAGATAATATAATAGGCAAAAATATTTCTCGACATGTTATCTTGTTGATATAAATAAAAGTATCCTATAAAGTTTTCGAAAATGATCTGTATTTTATTAAAATAAAATTAATTGTCAATAATGGAATAAGAGAGATTAGCAACTAGCTACTAACATGAAATAGTTAAAAAAAGTGTCAATAATACCCGTTCGATCTTGTCAAATCATTGTTAGGTATAGAGATTTTTCAAAAAAACAAAAAGAGAAACAGTTCAAATTTTAGTTAACTTTTTCCATCAGTAGAAAAGGCAATGTGGTTGGTCCACGTAATGCGCTACTTCAGGCATTAAGTATTTATTTTAATGTCCAAAACAAATATTTTGTTACTTGAAAGATTATTTCTGTGAGTCTTTAAAAACATCTACACTAAGTACTAATCGCCACATTGTTCTTTACAATTTTTTCTGTCTTACTTCACAAAAAAGTTCAGAATTTCGCTATCAAATATTTTGTAAGCCATCAAGTACGACATTTCTTTTGGCAAAAGAATAAGCTTTTATGTTTTCCTTCAATTGAAAAATGTTCAAAATGAAATTTATCAATATTGCTGTCACAGCGTTACAAAAAAGATCTTATTTAAAAATTTTCGTGAGCCACTTATGGAATATTAGTAAATAATCTAGTAGACTATAGCTAACTTTTCAAGGGGAATCTGACGTATTAATCTTTTTCTCAAATATATTGCATTTTGATGTAGACAAACGTAACACAGACAAAAATCTGATTTTCGGTATAATTTTTAGTTGGTATGATTGAACAATAATGTTAATGTTAAAAGTGTCAGATAGCAACTGGATAGACTTCCAACTTGATTTTGACATTTGGTTTACTCATTTTGTGACAATTTTCTCTAAAAATTCCAAATTTTTGTTTCATTTTCGATGTTTTTGGCTGTAGTTCATTTTAACTATAGTAACTAGTGCATATTGAGGGAATGTTTTGAACTGTCCAATTGCTTTGAAGTTCAAACTCTGTGCATAATTTAGACCCCATTGAGGTATAAGAAAGCCAAAATAGATAAATGCCCTTAGATTTTCTGTCCAGACTTGTAAGCATATTATACGGATATTTATCTTTTTGGCATTTTTCATACATCAATGGGGTCTACATCGCGATCTTTAATAGTTAGAATCACAGAAACGTCTGTTTAGAAGTTAAAACAATCTGTTCAGACGTGTCTAGAATCAATCTATGAAGAAAAAAGTATTACAGTGCTACGTTTTGTTTTTGCTTTTCATACAGAAGTCACAATCACAAGAGAAAAACGTCTTTTATCCTTGAAAAGCTCGTTCGATCCTCTATAGAATTTTCTCACGAGACATTTCATTTGGAGATCGTTTTCGCAGGAAATTAGAACTCTATTGAGAGCACTCCAAATTCAAGGTCTTTTTATGCCACAGTGGTTACGCGATCGAGAACCTTTCTGGAAGCTCGAGACTTTAATTGAAAAAGCTTGTTAGCGCAGCCCTTTTGGAGCTGAAATGTAGAACTCACATATTTTCGTTAGCCTTATGAAACTAATACAAGATAGGTGAAGTGAAAAATCCCTCATAGACTATAGTTGTGTTTGAAGATAATTGATCAATAAAATAAAGATTTGTCTTATTTATTTCTGCATTTCGAACAAAAATTTTTGTCTAAGAGCGTCCTATTTTTGTTTATATTATTACTATTTGTTCGTTATTTTTCATTTTTTTTTAAATTCGTTTTTCTTAATTTAATATTCTTACTTTATGATTATGAAATTAATTTATTGATAAATAAGTTTGTTTTACATATCCATGGTATCCACAGCAGATCATATGCACTATTGTATATATTAACCAACTCACAAACAATGATATTCGTCATTTTTCAAAATATTATTTGATCAATTTTGAGAAAAGAAACTCTAGAAAGTCTGACACCTGCTTTTTTTTATTGCTAAGGTCTGTAACGGTGGAGTGTCTATAGTCAGGAGAAGGGTAACCGGAAAACTTCGACGTAGGGGTGTCACACTTACCACCACTTCCACTTACCGGTAAGTGGTAAGTGGTTTGCATCTAATTGAAGACTGACCATTCACGACACAAAATTGATGATTCCATCATAAATTTTTCGTGACCTTTTTAGACTAACTAAATTTAGATATGCACTAGTACGGTCTGGCTTGGACCCAATCGCCAATTGGATGTCGGTCCGATTGGATTGCATTCTGACTGAGGTATGCAATTCGATTGTGTCTAACATGAATGGCGATTGGTGTTTATAGAACACAAATCAATAGGTATTAATGCAGAATCATTACGTTTGAATCCAGTACCTAGTAGGAACTACCGAGGGAACCGTTCGAAATGATTCACCGCTTTTGAGCTCATGTTTTGGGGATATCGAGAGGATCTCCAGACTAGAATAATCCTAGAAGGATCCGGCCCCTTGGCCTTCCTGTCTTGAGATATTGAATTTTCCAGTTCTTAGGTAATATAGCGTTTTTGACCATATATCACTGCATCATACCACGAACGAAAATGTATTACAAACTAAAATTTTTCGGATAAATTTTTCTGATTATCAGCATATTATCATGAAGTTCACAGACTTTTGCTTCATGTATCCGGCTTACAATAATTTTT